TGCTTGGGATTTTCAGGGTAGAGAACACAGGCTATTTTTGGCATTACCCCTCTATGGTAGGATGAGAGCTATAGGCTAAACTGTAATAAACATCTTTAAGACCTACATTTTGTGACGAAGGACATATGTTTTTGAGGAGCAGAGGATTATCAGGAAGATAATCACTTCACAGAAATACTTCGCCCTCCTCATCCCTGCCCAAACCAACCAGTTTGTAGAACTAAAATGCATGGTTAGATCCCGACATCTCAGGGAAGAGAACAGCTACAAAAGTCCCAAATTGCCCTCAGTCCAGCCTAATACAACAGGTCAAGGATTTGCCCCTTTAAGATTATGTGGTCAGATCTACAAAGGATATTACTTAAAATACAGGTTTCTACCCTTAAATTTTATCTGGTCACAACGGTTCAAAGCACCAGCTCCTTGTCCTCCCTCAGATGGCAAGCTGACACCAAGGCCTGTGGAAGGAGGTCACCACGCTGGTTAGGAGCAACAAGCCCTGGCTGTGCCTGCTTTCCTTCCCTGAGACTGCAAGGCCACAAGAACCAGGGCTATGAGAAATGCTTCCAGTCACTGGAGACTCAGTCCACAAACTACCACAGAAATTCAGCTTAGAAAACTGAACGAGGTGCTGGGCACGTACACGCAGAGCTGCAGTATGTGGAGGGCTTTCAGCTCAAGGCAAGGCACCTCAGTGAACCCTGACATGGGCCACTGACAGAAGTTTTTCCACACAAGGCTTTTGTGATTTGGCCCAGTATCCATGATGTAGATGTTAATGGCTGCAAATGGAAGTCAGGCACAGGGAAATACAGACTTTGGAAGCAGCTTGGTTGCTAGTTCCAAAGCAGAAAACGAGATGCATTAAACTTATTTCTGGTCAATATTTATTTTACACATTTGTGTGACAGCAGGAAAACCAAGTTACACAGACCATCCTGATTTGTATGTACCTTGCTTCTCTTCAAATACTCTTTGTTGTTCTTTTAATAAAGTTTAAAAAAATACTGAAAAAAAATCTATTTGTACATCTAAACATGAACTGAGGAATAGGGTATGTACAGGCCACCAAAACCCCTTGAACTGGACCTTGCTGTACACAGCCAAGTCTTTTTAAGTTCTTTTGGAGGCCATTTACTAAATGAATTCAAAGCGACATTGTACAAGGTGCCCTAAAGCTGCTTAATGACACAAGAGGATCTAGAATTAATTATTAATAGTTACTAAAGGGAAAGGGAAGCTATTTAGACCCATACTCTGTTTTGACAGAACAGGTACCAGCCCAGCACTCCAGTATCCTAGCTACAAGATGAAGTGCTTTGAATAAAGTGGAGGTTGGGCTCTACTTTATTACACAGAGAGCAGAACACTGAGTGAAATCCCACAGGGAAATATTTATTAAGAACTGTCCTTACTACAGGATTGCTGCAGTCAAAACATAAAGGGGTTCTTGAGCCAGTCAACCTACAAGGAGTGACTCTTTTCTCAGCCACTTCCTTCCAGTACCAGCACTTTACACTTAAGTATCTCAGTATTTTTCTTAAATCCTACTCCAGCCACTTGCAAGTACATACCACATGCAGTTCTTACAGGATCATTGCTATATCCAAGCAAGAAACAAGGGGAAAAATACACAGCTTCCCAATATTGCTAAGTGAAGTGATTAATAAGCTGAGAACAGCATCACACCCAGCGGCTACAAGAAGATTAATCCAATTTAGAACAATGTTTCCCAGCAAATCAACCCCAGGGAACACAAGGAAACATTGGTCAAGTGCCTCTGGGCAGCATCACCTCAGTTTTCATGAAACATTCAGGTGACAAGTTACACACAAGGTCACTGGTTTCAGACAGTGTAAGTTCCATTTCAAATATCACTGTACCTTCCATCTACTGCAGGTCACAGCTCCATGCTCTTTTTATACAGGTGAAAAACGGGGAAACATTTTATGATTGAATTGGAGGTCATAACACAGAATCAATAAAACACATTTGCTTTAAAGAAACAGTAGTCTATTAGCAATCATGACAGGTCAAACTGAAGGAGACAAACCAGGCAGACTGAAGGAGGATTTCCTTCCCTTCAATACCTGCTCTACTATCTTTTTTTTTTTTTTTTTTTTTTTTTTTTTATTTGCTTCAAATGCAGACAGGTAATTTTCAGACAGACAACAAAAAACCCTCCTTCCTTGTCAATGTGATTGTCACTGGCCAAACTGCATTTCTCTTAGAGGTGCATACTGTAAGAAGAAAAAAAAGACTTAACATGCTAAAAATCTTCCATTGGACTTTCACCAAGTGTGCTCACTGGAGTGGTTAGGACATGCCCTTTCATGGCTAGAAGGAATGTTACAGTGCTTAAGGATACATGGCGGATGCACACTCTTTCTAGCATGAATCCACTTAGCTTAGAAAAATACCTCTTCCACATTACTAGCTCCAAGACAAAATACTGCAATGCAGCAAATTTTTACAACATGCTCCCAGGGTATGCCAGCATGGAAATCCAGGAACAGGGCACTCAGCTGGAGAGAAACACTGAACAATGCGCTGCACAGATCATGACATGCCGAGTTAGATGACAACATGAAAGAGCATCTTAATAGGACAGCATGTGGCTTCTTCAAGTCGAACTGCTACATTTTGAGCAAGCAGCAGCAACGTTCCAGATGACCCCATTATGTCTTGCTTTCTTTTAGTATGTCTCTTGATGAGCCATCAAGGAAAACATTTCCAAGCTTGAAGAATGCAAGAGTCTGGCAGTTGCATTGCAAGGTTTCCTCTGGAAGACAGCTTGCTGAACAGTTACAGCAGGAAGGAGTGCACCGGTGCCATTTGCATGTCATCATCAACAGGGATTTATTGGGGCATAACCTGCATTACAACTGAAGACTGAACCAACCTCAATTTTTGACTGCAGAGGGTGCCGAGTACTCTGCTGCAGCAACAAATGTGAATGCATTCAAAACTGTTCATTCTGAATTGCACCAGACCTGCTTTTTCAGGACTCCTGTCCTTACACCACGGTGTACTCGCAGGGTGATTGCTTTAGTTGCTTACTTCAGTAAAAGGCAGAGACAGGAGAGTAAGGCTGCATACCAAAACAACCCGTAAGCCCACAAGCAGCTCTTCCGCTTTCCCTCCCTGTGAAAAACAGAGCTTCCTCCCAGACAGCCAGCCGTCAGCTTTGAAAGGCAAGCACTGCGATTATCCTGCCTGGTGAGCTCTAAGCTGCTGCATTTCACTAGCAAGTCACACACTTGCCAGTCCCACAGATGGGGGCTCCCCTGGAAGGCAGGGGAGGGGGTAGCCCTCCCTTTGATGCCTGTGCTGCAAGGGGAGCACAACTGCAGCCACCTTCCCATCCTCCAACACCCCAACCACTGTCCAATCCATCACATAACCCTGGCAGGGCAAATTTTTTGACCTGTTGAGGAACTCCACCAGAGAAAGGGGAAATTCACTTTGGAATTTGCCGCAGTAAGAACCTTCTATCACTCTGCTTCTTGACTTGTACATCCACATTTTCCTTACTAATGCTTCAGTCTGACTAGTCACTGGTGTCCTGGTGTTTAGCATCCTGCCTTAAGTGCCAGCTGAAGTTGCTTGTACAGCTGACTGCTGAAGCTCAGGTCTGAACTTGGAAAAAGCCCTTCTAAAAACACTTTCAGAGTACTGTTATGCCTTTTCATGCCGAGACGAAAAGAAATCACCCATTTTTTTGGCCTTTGACTAGTAAGCCAGGGACTTGGCAGATAAGCCTACACTATACGCAACTTTAGCGAGAAAGTGCATATAAAAGAAACCTGAGACTAAGGTAAAAGCGCTTGCCAAACCAGCAGCTCTGCTGACGCTGAGGTATGGAACAGGCAGCTGTCTGGAGCCCACTCAAGCACATGCTGGATGCCAGCACAGCCCCTCATGTTTTGGGGTGAAATGCCACACCCAGCGGAATTCCACATCTCATTTGCAAAAAGGTATTAACAGGTTCTGAAATAGCATCATGTCCAGATTAACACTGTTCTTGCACTTGTGTTCCTGACAGCAGACCCTCATCCCTTACATACTTCAGCACCAACAGACTTCAAGGCTCCAGTGAGTGACTACTCTGAACAAAGTTAACAGCCTGTTTGAGTAGCCCTTTGGATGCAGACAGTGACATTTGCACAGGGACAGAGTAACTGTGCAGAGTGAAATGATGAATTTTGAGTATTGTATGTAACTGTATGATGAACTGGGACTGCCTATGTTTGTTTATAGTCCAATTTCCCACACCTCAGCTACTTAGTATGCAGATTTAATATAGAGAAGGTCTAAAAGATACAGAAGGTTTAAAAAGATCCTTAAGATACAGAAGGTCTAAGAGGCTCAGGGATCACCTAACAGCCTGTCTAGTCATGTAGGCTCTGTTTCCACTAAAATTATAATCACTGCAAGACAATGACAGCAGAAGTCAAACTATCACTGCTGTGATTACTATGCAGTTAAAGCTGAGGAGGGAAACACAGAAGAGGACTCCGTACCCAGAGAAGAGGGTTCTTCTCATGCTTTATCAGAAGAGAAACCAGTTGCAGGTATCAAAGTAGGTAGATTCATTTCTACCGTTTTCAAGATGCAGAGAACCAATACCTGGTAAAATAAGTGGCAACCAGAGATAACAACGCTGCTCTTCAAACAGCAAGTCTTGGTACAGACTGCTCATTTAAATTAGGGGTTTTACAATCCCTGGTCAAAACTGAGGAAAAAGTGGTTCCAGGTTCCAAAGAAAATCCCCCTTCTAAACAAAAAGAATAAAAAAACCTAGTGGCTAGTAGTCCTCTCATCAGCTGTGCCCCAGAGACACAGTCCCTTCAGTCAAAAAGTAATTCCTAAATGAGCCTGTAGAAGATGCTGGCACATCCGAAGCTCTGTGATGATGCCTGTCCCTGTCACCCTGACAGAAGCACTTTGCTCAACAGCACCATATGTCAATGTCTCTACATGAGTATTAAGGCTTCAATGGGTCAGTGAGTTATACTCAATTTATTTTTCTTAAAGCTTATCCTCATTACATCAGTGAACCACTTCTGTCCTCCCCCAAATTAACAATCATTTGCTATGCCTTGCTACTATGACTACAGGCACCAGCTGGCCTTACTAACAAGAGTACTACAGGTAAAATGCACACGGCATTTGTAAAATGTCTCTAAAGACTCCACTGCAAGTTTGCAGCTAACAGTCAAGACTTCCCGTATTCCCCTGCACTGAGGTTTCAGTAATCATCATCTTTCCTGACAAAAACCATTTAGGACTGGGAGCTGCAGTTGCCTGGTTTTGGTGGCAATACCATTTTGAGCAGTTCAGCTCATCTCAAGCAGCAGTTATCATTGATCCTACATAGCCAGAGAGATACAAGTAGCCATCCAGAGAGACTAAGGAACTCAGGATAATGGTGAACCACAGATTTGTGCTGCAGTACCTTTGCTAGACAGATTTCCCCTGGAGATTCTGGTACTGTTTATACTGTGTCAGAAAGGAGTCTCTTGAAATACCTTGAAAATACTTGATAAAGCAGATCAGAGTGCTCTGGGTCACAGCTTGACATTAAATGTTTAAGATAGCATGGCAGACCCTAAAAAGCAAGCATCAATCTTACACCTCTTGTGTACTTCTTGCCAGGTGGGTGTGAATCAGGAGCAACTCCATGAACAGTAGAGAATTTACATTAATGATTATTGCACTACGGGCTAGTGCTTTTGATGGAGAACAGTCACTTGCCTCCTGTATAGCACTATATCTGAAAACATGACATGTTCAAGTGGATACCTGCGTGGGTAAGACAAGAAGATACTCATCAGCTTTCCCAGTGATGTGAGTAGTGGCAGAAGTTATCTGATGCAGTACGCCATTTAGTCTCTCAAATAACTGCTGTTGCTTCTACTCATCTGTTTTGCAATGTTTTGTCCAAGCCAAAAGAAAAGTTTATAAAAAGAAAAAAAACAATACTTACATCTCTTATCTTCTTTTCCCACCTTCTGACACGCTTTGTAATTCCCAGCATACACGTTACATAGCAAGTGTGTGTATATATATATGGGCATTATATAAAATATATACTTTACATACACACTAAAGGTCTCTCTTCACATTAGCATTACACACTCTGAAGAACGCAACTGCAAACAGTTCTGAATACCTAACTGATCCAGAAAGGGGAAAAAGGATTAAGCTACCCAAAATCCCTAGGAAAGCTTCACGCTCCTTGCAGGTACCAAGAGATCCCAATTTCTTATGATCAGAGGAATAGTTATATTTCTGCACTGCTTTGCTCCCCCTAGGCACACCCCACTCTGCAGTTTCAGTGTTGGGAAGTGCTAGTTGCTCCCTTTCCACTGAGAGTAATATTAATAAATTAAAAAAGTTTCTTGGAAAGTGCTGCCTTAGTCCAGTCCATCATGCCGTGCTTTCCCACTCGCCCTGTGGCTCTGCTGAACCATTCACCACTTTCTTGACCTTCTTCATGCCCTCCATTACTCCAGAAGTTGTCACCCTGGAAGAGAAGGGAGAAACATCAGAGAACAGAAGTGGAACTGTAACATCCATTTCTCCAATACCCCATGTTTGTCTTCCTGTGCATATCAAACAACATTTCTCTAGGGTCTCTTTACCAAAACCTGGCAGTCTTGATGTTTGGTCTCTCTCATCGCTACTGCTTTGCGGGTCAGGTATCATCTTGGACGCAATGCTGATGGGAGTTGGGAGCAAGGCCACTGTCCTTGAGAGCCTCAAGTCCCTCCTCATCTATCATTAAACTAAGTCAGCGAGCAATACTTGTTCGTATTTGAAAGATAGTGGTTAAACACCTGAAAGAAGGTGGTTAAACAGTTAAACCAGGTGTTTATTTGCTAAAGTTTGAGCAGCTTGCTTAAAAACTGTTTTGCTATACAGCTGAATACTCTTAATTCTGTGCATTAAATACTTTCTTCTGCATTTGAAATGCTCTTAATAGGCACAATGTATTATACAAATGCAGAGTGGACAGTGCCCCAAATGAACCTTATTAGCTTAATGCACACCAACTCCTGTTAATATCAAAATTACTCTATGAACAGCAACAAAACTGAAGAGAGGTCATCCTTTTTATACCATCCAAGTCTGGATTTGTCACAGCAATCTCACCATTGAGCTATAAAGCCTCATAATACCGTTCAAACATTAGGCAGACTGTACTGTTTGTCCAGCCAGAACAGCACCACTCCTCTCACAACTACCTTCGCTATCCAACAAGCTCTTCAGCCCAGCAGCTTTCTCTCACTAGACAAAACAGGCTATTCACATGCACAAGACATTTGCTTTATTCTTTTGCACAACATGATTCTCATTCAATGCAGGTATTTTTTCCCCATGACTGTACTACAAAGGTTATTTTGGATGCTGAAAGTAAGAGTGACATAGCTCAACGCATTCACAAGGGATGCCTGGGAGCATACATAAACCTGTCCTGTTCAAAGGTGCCACTTCAGCCTTTGTGTGCTTTCACCTCCTGTTTACCATGGATGAATACTTTATTTGATCAGACTAGCTAACAATTTTCACAGTATCACTCAAGAGAAGTAATCTTCAGATACATTCTTCTGACAATGCTCTTAGTTCTGCATTAGATATCAGTTTCTGTTCATGTACTATAAAAATAATTTACTCAAACTGGTGTGTTCAGTGACTCTTTAGCAGTGGCAGTACTGGAATCGTCAGTGGTTCAGACACTTTAGAGTGTCTGAACCTAGATGAGCTTGTGTTTAAGGGAATAGTGAAAAGGTCAGAAGAGTACAGATCAAATAGCAACTTTATTCTCTATTTAAATTTAAAAAAAAAAAAAAAAAAAAGGAGGGAGAAAAGTAAACAGGATGCTTAAAGGAGAAAGATGCAATTAGTAAACAGCAAACATTTGCCCAGAAGAGATCACATCAAGCTTATCAGCACAGAGAACATGTAGATCTCGTAAGTTCTCCCTGTTGACAAAAGTTTTCCCACTGTCATGTATGAAAAAAACTGGGGAAACATGAGCTAGGCAAAACTAAGTAGATGCATAACTAATTGGAAAAGCATTCATTGAGATGTACTTAATGGTTTCCTGTCAAAAATGACAGAATATTGAGCGTGGTTCCAGAGAGGTCTGTTCTGGCCTCACTTCTATTCAGTATTTTCAGTAATTACGCGTGTAATGGAACAGAGAATTTGCTCATTAAGTCTGCAGAAGACACTAAGAGCTACATATTTGAGAACAGAACTAGAATACAGAAAGATTCTGGCAAATTGAAGTAATGGTCTGAAAAATAGGGGACAATGCAGCAAGACAGCTACAAAGTTTACTTTTTAGAAATAATAAAGTTTGCAATTACAGAATGAGTATCAACTCTTCAGGGAGAGGCTGGACAACAGACTACAAACCAAAACTGAGCAGCTAACATAGCAATGCAACAGCAGACTTACTGGGATATATAAATAGGTATTTTACACATGCACGACACCAAAGTGGTCCTAACACTTGACTCACAGCTAGTAAGATCCCACCTGGCGCACAGCCCAGATTTTAGCACTGCACTCTAAAACAATTACAAACCCACTGCACACCAAGATGATGACAAAAGCGATGAGAAGTTATGGCTAAGAGGGAACGAGCCACTTCCCACATTCATGGAGGGACAGAACAAACAGCTATATACAGAAATTGCAACTGGGTCACGTCACATCATTTATTACCAAAGAGGCCACTTATTGTCACCCCCACTTGCAATGACAGCAAAGAACTAGAAGAGATTTTGGGGTGCCTTCCTCAATAGCAAAAGCTAAAGACCATCTGATGAGCACTGACCTTGTCTTAGGACAAGTGTATGGCATAGCTCTTGAGTCCTCATTTTCTCAGACTGCTCGTGTACAACCAGCAATTCCTTTCCCTCTCAAAAAAAATCAGTTCAGTGAACATGTTTTAGTGCCTGGTAAAATAAGGGTATCGGCACTAAGACCAAGCACACTGCAATTCTCATTCTAGTCCTCTGAGCAGTCTCAGGACTTCAGCTCTGACCTGCAATACTGCAAGTAAATGCTCCTCACCTACTGTTTGCTGAACTGCATTTCTAGCCCACAAACTAGCAGTAGTTAAAATGCAACATATCTTTCACACTAAACCATCTCTCTCCAGAGAGAATTTTTGTGGCTGCCAGAGGGATGCCCATCACAAATGAGGCACTAAGGGAGTTCCCTGAACACTTCACTGCACACTGGTACGTGCTGTGGAAATCTCTGAGTTTTCATTTCCCTCCTCCCTGCATTGTATCCAAGGCATCAAGGAATGGCTAAATATTCAGAAGCATCTTCAGCCCTTCACAGCAGCAGACCTCAGCTGTCTTTTCTCCTGTTTTGTTTTGTAGTCCAACAAGAAACACTGCAATAACAGCAGCAGCCAGCTTTTACAAGCTACTGCAAACCAGGGTGAACACTGATCAGCCATTGAGCAAAACAGCTGATCTCTGCATGGGAAAGATGGGTTAGGTGAAGAAAATCACTGCTAATGGAGAGCATCATGAATCAATCTGCCATGAAGCACAACCTGAGATAAAGCAGAAAAAAAAAAGCAACCAACCAGGACTTCCAAGTCTCAGCACAGAATAGGTCACCTCATCATACAGTGACAAACTCCAGATCACAAGGCATAAGCAAAGGTTGGTCAGTGTTACCACAACAGTTCACTATGTTGAGGTTGCTTTGGGTGTTAAGGAAAAACAAAAGTTAGTCTCCACACACTAAGATGGATTTACCAAATTGATAACAAAGCCATTAATGGCTTTCCCTGCAATTCCTCCTCCAGTGGAACATGGACCTATGAACATTTTCCACCAAGATCTGCAGAAGAGCACTTTGGTACTTAACATCTAAAGCAAATTTACAGAGCTGATGAAATAACTTACTGCAAGAGTAAATACACCAAAACAACTTCTTTTCCCCTTCTGCACCCCCATCCTGTCTACTGTACTGTTTATATTTTTATGTTCATGCCCCAGAAATGGCATTAGGACTGGAAGCCTGACAACTCCTTCTGCCAAGTGTGGCTGCACCTTTTCAAACAGAGTACTTTAATCTAACAAACTGTCAGCGACAAGCCCACATACTGACAGAACGGGCTCAAGAGGCTGCCCAGCATGGAATACACAGAAAGCCACTTTGCTGATGATGAATGGCTATTGACCCTACTTGAAAAAGAACAGACTGGTCCTTAGTTCAGGTTTAGTCACTCTCCTCTTCACCAGAACAACTTCTGTTGAGCCTGGTATAACTGAAGACAAAATCCTGTAACATTTGTGGATGCTTTCTCCCAAGATAATGGCATGCTAATTCAAAGGTAACTTGTAATATGTCTTTTCCTGTTCCTGATTTACATTTTATTGTTGAGTTACAAGAATTTACAAAGGGAGGATTTGTGCCTTATGTTGCTTTTGTAGACACCTAGTCTTTGGATTTTTCTTGAAGCTTTGTAGATTTCTACACTGTCCTTAATATTTACATTTACTGCTACACTGAGCTTTGTATAGTTTGCACTGCATGAAAACATGCATAAGCTAGAGGACTACACTTAAAATGTCCTATTTTCTGCTGGAAGACAATCAAGCCTGGAAAATAGGTTTTATGACCTCACGGCCCTCCCCTCTGTTGGCTCATAGAAATGTTGAGTCTGAGGAAACTGAATGCTTCTGAAGCAAATGTTTTAAAGAGCCTGATTTTAAAAAAACCCTTTGGGAGAGGGAAGTAACCATAAAACCTGGCAATAAGACATGGTAGAATACTGTGAAGTTTGAAGTTTGCAGGCTTTTAACTTCTGCCATAGCCTCTGAAGACAAGTGGGTATTCATCACATGAAAGACAAAACACACTCATGCAGTGGTTAGTCAGGATGCTGTCAGGCACTTAGTCACTTGCTCAAATAAGCCTTGGTATTTTTCCCCCACAGAAACAACATTTAATATTTATAAAAGCAAAAATAGGACCAGCAAGACCAAGTCAACAAGAAATTTGCACTTGCATTGCAGTGCTTCACCTGTCACAGAATATGTATACACCCTGCTTTTCAAATACATGCAAACTTAACCTCCCCAACGCAGCTGGGGAAGGGAGAGCAAGACACTTACAGATTATACCCTGCCAAGTGCCCAAATGGAGTTAAGTCTTCTGGTGAATCAGATGAGAAAAATTTCAAGCAAGGCTAAGAGGAACAACCCACAAGGCCCAACAATGGAAACTCCCAAGGCAAAGAGGAAAATGCCTTACTAGGAAAAGGCTCACAAGGAATTCCGATCCTCGAGTCGCTAGTAATGTGTGTTTCACTATGGCGAAATGTAAATCACTGAATTGGTTCATTAAACTTTCTCCAGCTTATTTCTAGCAGATTGTCCTAAATTTAGCTGCTTCTCCAATTTACTAAAACCACTAAATATGAAAAGGTGCCATATTTAGTACTGAAAAAACCCAAGAAAAAAATTCATTAAATATGTAATTCAAAGTTAAAATCCACTCTGACAGACAAAAAGGAAAAAAAAAACTCGTTTCTGTACTCAAATCCTGCCACATCTTCCAGTTCAGACAGTGCCTTCCTAATGTGGATGTTCAGCTTCCAAAGTGAACCCAGCTTCTTTAATAAACCATTTAAAGACTTCTAAGTGATACTGATTTTAAGGTCACTACCCACGAGTTGGATTCCACTTGCAACAATGACAGATTTTATGGACCCAACGCAAAAATAGCTAAGCATTTGGAAAGATCTTCGTTACAAGAGATACTTCTGACAAATTAAACTCCTTGCATGACATTTCAGGTTGGATTCTATCTCAAGCCTCCTTGTAGAAATTCTCCATTAAGATCCATTTCTTTGAGATAACTGAGGGCAAACATATTCTGACCTTTTTTGCCCCCTCAATAAAAACTGAAGTGTTGATTTGTTTCACCCAAGATCAGGTAAAGGAGATTTGCCAACCTGGAAAAACTCTAAGGAGCAAGCTTCTGAGCCTGTACCTGAATTGCAATTATGCATGAAATGTGTAACTACGAAAGAAATTAGGTTTGTTCTGCTCCTATTAAGGCAAGAGAGTCTGTGGCAATTACAGCTGTATTCAACACGTCTAGAATGCTGAATTTCTTTCTATTATAGATTCCAAAAATGCCACTTATTTTTCAAGTCCTCAGAAAAACACTGCAAAGAAAGTGATAGGGAGTTAGGCTGAGCCCTTGTACTGGGTTTGCATGGCAAAGTTTTAGTAGCAGAGCAGTTACAGGTTCTGTGAGGAGCTGCTAGAAGCTTCCTCTATGTGCAGCAGGGTCAACCAGTCTGCTCGAGAGCCACCACTGGCCAAGGCTGAGCCCATCAGCAACAGTGGTAGCACATATCTAAGAAGGGGGAAAAGTTACTGCACAATGGCAACTGCAGCTGGAGAGAGGAGTGAGAATATGAAAGATAAACAACCTGCAGACAGCCAGGTCAGTGAAGGAGGAGGGGAGAAGGTGCTCCAGCCACTGGAGCAGAGATTCCCCTGTAGCCTGTCAAGATGACCATGAGGAGGCAGGTTGTCCCCTGCAGCCCAAGGAGGGTAACAGTGGAGCAGATACCCACCTGAAGCCCAGGGAGGAGTGAAGTTAAACCTGGGAAGAAGGAAACGGTGAGGGGGAAAGTGGTTTTAAAATTTGGTTTTATTTCATTACACTAACTCCAATTTGATTGGTAATAAATTAAAACAAATTCTTCCCCATTGAGTCTGTTCTACCCATGAAGGTAACTGGTGACTGATCTCTCCCTGTCCTTGTACCCAGGAGCCTTTTGTTTTCTCTCCCCTGTCCGGTTGAGGAAGAGGAATGACAGAGCAGCTTTGGTGGGCACCTGCCAATACAGCCAGGGTCTGCTCCTCACAGACCTACTTGATAATATCTCCAAGCTAACTCAAGTCCTGCTGCCTTTGTGGTACCTCATGGTTTAGCAGCAAGGAATGAAACAGGGAAGAGTACTGGTAAAAATCCATCTCCTTAGCTCAGTGTTACTCAGAATAAAATTCTGCAAAGCTACAGGCTGGACAACAAGGTAGAAGGGACCTTAACACCACGCTCATTTACATTCTCTAGATTAGTAGTTCATTTTTGTTATTGGTTTAGTTGCTTGGGCTTTTTAAAATATGAGCATTAATGACAACCTGTAAAGTTTGTTGGTGTTCAGCAACATAGATTAAACACAAAAGCTTTTTCACTTGCTATTTTCACAGGTGTCGTCTTGAAAAGCTTTACCAGTTTATTCCATACTACTGCAACATCCAGCTCAGAGGCTCCTATGAGTATCACAAATCTCTGTTAGTTTAACACACACCAAGCAGACACTCTCATCTTGAAACGTGTGGGCAGATCCTAATCTTTCTCAAAAGAGGATTTAAAGAGAGTAAACTGTTTTTAAACATTACTTTTCTCAAATCAAATGTAGAGGTAAAAATGTGGGGGAGGTGTCCTTACACAGCTTCCATCTCCAAGTCATCCTCATCGTCTTGAGAAAGCTGTAGGTAAGGGTTGTCTGATGCTGGACGGAACTTGTACCCAGTGAGGACAAAGAACACAAGTGTGGCCATTTCATCCAGCAGCTGCAAGTGAAAACACAAAATCGGAAGTTCAATCCTGTAAGGCTTCACATAGTCATGAAACATTTATCCTCATTCATAAGGTTCAAGGTTTAATGGCCAAGAAGCCTGTGCCATAGGAGAAATAACACAGCAATTCCTGTCCTGTTATCATTACTCCCAGGCTAAAGGCTGTCAAGCCCTTTTTGTTCTTTCATCTCTCCCTGTCACTTTAAATACAGTTACAGTTCTAGCCATCACTCCAGTGCTTTTAAATAACTATGGCAAGACTTGGCTTTTAAATGATGGGGGTAAAAAAAAAAAAATCATCTCTACACTGTTTGATATTTTCAACAGTTAATGTATTCCAAAGACTCCCTGCACAGTTACTTGGATTATACGTTAAGAAACCAAGTATTTAAAAGTCACTAGGCAAATAAAACCTGTAGATGGAAGAGCAAAAGCCTATTTCACTGGCTCCCTGGGGCCGCAATTACACAGGGCAAACCTGACTCGTTTTTTTGTCCTTTGTATGTTCTTGATTAATTTCCTTCAGACAGTTTTAAATTGAAAGACTAAAAATCAATAATGCAATTACTTTCAGACATCTCATGTATAATCCAGCAGCCTTGCTGGACAAACATAAAACTAAAAATATATTCCTGCCACCTTAAGCAGATCAGTGATAAAAATCAGGAGGAGACAGGGTGCAGTACTGTGCTTCGAGATGTTCTACTACAACATGGGGAAAAACTTATGGAATTTTTTTTTGGTGCAGTCATATTTAAGGAAAGAGAAAAAGAAAAAGGAATAGATGTATTTTCCTTTGGTGGCATATACCTGGTACAGCCATTTCCACTGGAATGGAACAGCAATCTTTATGAGAATTGCAATGATCCGTGTGAAGTAAATGTAACACACAATCTGGGAAGGAAGAAAAGAAAGCATGATGAGAACAGCAGAATCCTTATAGGACCTCTTTTTCCAGAGAAATAGCTCAAGCAATTCCCAGACAACTCATTATGTCAGACTAGCCTTATCATGCTCCTCAACAAACATGGAAGATATAGGCTGAGGGCTCTACTGCTTGTTGAACATCCAAATGACTCAAGCTATTGCTAACATATTTAAATCACAGAAGGAAATACTTTTAGTATTGGGATTTTGTAGAACTTGAACAATCATGACTGTAATTTATTAGTCTTACCACTTAAGAGTCTGAAATGAGGCCGCTGGAAATCACTAGGAAGCCTGTGCTCTCTTGGGAGGCATGCTCATGGCTCCCACTGACTTAATCAGAAACTGCACACATGCATCTTAAGGCACCATTTGGTCCCAAGTTTAATTTTTAGCAAGTTTACAGTATGTTATTCAAGCCCATCAATTCAACTGGCAGCTCAAGCTGTCTCCAGAGAAAAATCACTAAGTGTTACAAATAGCTGGAACCAATTTCAAGATAGACAGAAGGATTCAACCACTAGGAAAAGAAAGGAAGTTGTTTTGAGGATTGTAATCCAATTGACCAAGATGCCAAAGCACAGCACTGCCACAGACTAGGAACATCTCCACCACATCTACCAGCTATAGTAGCTTCCAACAAGTAATCCATCAAAAGGCTTGAACAGCTTCTAAGTGCTCTGTATGTGTGGGTACAGGTGTTTTACTTACCATAACATAGTAATGTCTGAAAAGCTTCAGCTTTGCTAGGTTAATGGCAGCTGTCAAGAAAACACAAAAGTCCATCAGAAAAGTGTTAAAGTTAGACAGTTTATTTTGATGCTCATCTGCAAGGTAGGCAAGTAGTCAAAAACTAAGGTAATCCCAGACTGGAAGGATTTGTCCCACCACCCAGTGGGTGCTCTGAGGAGTGCCAGTCTGGTTTGTCTGTGCACTGGACAACTCCTAGGCTGGGGTAAATGCTCTCTAAAGGCAGCTTAGTGAGATCCCTTTTACACTAAATTGTGTATGCACACCCTCAGCAATATAAAACCTTCTTTTAATACTTACCTGTATGTAGCCAACTACTGTCATCTCAATCCTGCAACAGGGGCCATGTGCAACTTGGGAACATGTCCTAGAAAGTTTCTATAATTTCTCAAGTACTTCCTGACCTGCTCTGTGCCTTCAGCTGACCTGAGTGACTTTGAGGTAATCACAGCTCCAGGAACCACTGCATCTTGTTGAACAGCAGAAGTATTTTAACATCTAAGTAGTATCCTCTATCATTCATGGCTCAATCACAACTTAGAAGTGAAACGGGATGTCATACTGACTAGTTCTCATAGCAAATGTGTGTGTTTCAGTCAAACCGCGTAAGCAAAGGCCCCAGGCTAACCTGTGCTTATTGGACAGATTACATCAGCTCTTGAGGAACACAGCAGATATTCATATGAACGAGCAGAGGTCACTAACAGATGGAACAGCTGTCAACTCTGGTTTGAGAATCAGGTGCAGCGGGATTACAAATTCAGACTCCTGATGCTTTTGTGACAACAGCAGAGGCAAAGAGTCCAAGATACGTTGACAGCATACAGAGGTGAAATTTAGAGCAAGTGAACACAAGCTGACAGAAAAGTAGTGCCACCATATATACTGGTATTCCCTCCAAGCCCTCCTTCTCACGTGCTTAAATTCACACCTACACTCCCTCACAGAAGCCATCCACTGCAAAAAGCTTATTGATTAAAGGTTGCACATATTTGCACTTCATATTTCCTAGGTTCACAACAGCACAAAATACAGGAAGAGGAGGGCTAATAGCTACCAAAGAAATGTTTCATTCCTGTGACCAAAAAATAGCAGCTTTTCTTATGGAAAGGTAAACGTCAAATACATTACCCAAAGTAAACTGTTCTGGGTTCCCACTACATAAGCTACAGTAAAGACAGACAATGCTCTGTATAAACCTACTTTGTATAATCTAGAGATCAAGACTCACTTTGCAAAACCTATCTTTAGTGTTCCAGGAGAACCACTGAAAGCTACAGACTTGGAGACAGATATAAACCCTCCTCCAGCAGACGTACTGTGACAACAGTACCTGACTTACACAAAGCATAAACTGACTGACAGGTAGATAAAACTAAGCTAAGAGCAGTTTTGATTTAGTGCTGACTAGTGGTTTCTACACATTTCCAGATGGTATGTGTAACTTTTGACAGAGCACAGGGCATGTCAGTAAGAGAAAACAGAGCCAGAGCTCAAGAAAAAAGCAAGCCTTATTTGTGAAGGAACACAAAGTTTGTTTCCATGCAACTAAAGCATATACTGTGCAACACTCATCTAACTGGTGGTCAGATAGGGCTGGCTTTGGGCAGGACTGTGCTCATGGGAGCAATCTTACAGCACAGTATGTCAGAGAAACACTTGCTCTCAGCTTTGGGAGGATGCTCCCTTCCAGACTGCAATATGAAACACCAAACACAGAATAGCATCTACTTCACAATACACAGTTCTGGACTCCAGAAAGCAATGCCCAAGCTCTAGACTTGCATCTGTAGTGTAGCAGCAATGAAGCACAGAGCACTTCACTGGGCAACAGATGGCAAGACTTGGAACAGTGAGAACAAGTATCTAACTAAATCCTTGGTAGCTAAATCAGCCCTGAGACAGTGGCTTGGCTACTTCTCCCTCATTTCCATCCCTCACAAAAGCTAGTTTCCCTACACTTAAATAGCAAAAACTTATGGATTTTCATCGGTCTAGTGCTCTACCAGATAACCTAATGTTAAAAGCTTTTCATAACACAGTTGGAGAAAGATTAAAGCATGTAAATATGCAGGACAAGCTCATTAAATCATGAAGCAGGAAAGCAATATTGTCTTATTTAAAGTAGGGCTACATTAAGTGTGACCATAAAGATCTTGTGATTTACCACATACCAGTTTGTACACAGAAGGATCTATTTTGAACTCAATGCATTCATCTTCAAGAACTGCCACCAACTGGTGCAATGACAGGCCATGAGAATTACCAGGCTTTGTAGTTAAAGGAACACCAACTCAACAGCTGTGATTCAAACTGCCAGTCCATCAGTGCTTTACAGTCAACAACTGAGTGAGCTGGGGAGTCATTTCTGTTGGATTCATGCAGTGCATAAGAGGAAAGGACAGTGAAGCCAAAGATCTGGCTGCCAACTGAAGTGTCACAATGCCACCTCTGCCAGCTGACAGAGCACAGCTCAAGATCTCACCTACTCATCATGATAATACCGAAGAGTCATAGGTTGGCACATCCCAATATCTAGAATGGCTGAGTGTGGGAAAGAAGGGTGAGGGGAGGAAAAAAAAAAAGACAACCACAGAAGGACTGAAGAGCCACCTCTGGAAGTTGGCTTGATTATTTATCACAACTAGGTGCTCTCCTCTACCTGCCTCAACTTCAGGAATACTTCACTATGAGATACTAAAGTCAATATTAATGCACGTCTACAAAATTCTGCCAGGTTTTTTAAACAGCTCAAAGTTACAGCACACACTGTTCTGGAGAAAGTCTAAAATCATCACTGCTTGGCATCAGCAGCCTGCGCATTGCTTTTTCACAGGCTGAATGTGCTCCAAGCAGTAACACTTGAGTCTTGCTATGCTGGACACTAAGACTTTGATTCACCTTTGCCTGGCAGTCCAGACACTGGCAGCAACACTTGTACGGAGAGAGGCAAGGCCAGCAGCTGTCACTTACAACCTGAATCACTTGCAGCCCCAACCTGTAAAGCTGTGATAACATAGCAGCAATCACAGCATGCAGTAAAGGCTGGGTAAATTTATGTTTTGAGTATGATAACCATTCTTCAAGGAACAGTACTTAACTGCAGAGGGCGGGGGGAAGTACAGACTTTCTACCAAAGGTTTTACAAATGAATTCATACTTGCATTCCATCTCTTTCATAGAGCAATTAAAAAGATAAAAGCCATCTTCTAAGAAAGGTTTATAACATCTATACCTTGCTTCCCTCAGTTTCCCCTCTCTATCACCATTTACTTCAACAGCTTGTGCCTGCAATAGCCTGATCTGCATCTATTAAAACACAGCATACCACAGTATCTTGATAATCAGTCTCTCTTTGATTGCTCCCTGTGCTCATTTCAAATACTAAGACAGACTATAAGACTAAAAAGCCAGACCATCCACTACAGCCTTGTGCACCATCAGACAATAGCTTTTTGATGAATAAATCTGACCTTTTTAGAATATGTATGCAATGAGAGGACTGCAACTAAGGGCACATGGAGCTCAAGTCCAGACAATATGGTATGCAAGGGCAAACTATAATGCATCTTGAGTGATCATGCTGAAGTATAGTTAAGAATATTTCTACAGTGCTTTGTGTGCTGTACTAACTCTGGTGCATTTGACATGCAATCTGTGCCATTACCAAATAGTAAATGGAAGTTTTCGTTCTCTCCCCGAATGAAGGCACACATGTAGATCTAGACCTCAAAAAGCAACTCCAGGAGTAACTCTGAGGAGAGCATCCCTACAATCTCTACAGCACTCTGCTTAAAAGCATTCCTATGTTAGAAAGAGGTCAAGCAAACAGATAAAATTCTGTCACTCAAGAGAAGGCAGCACAGACTAGTTAATCTTGAATATTCTCAAACATATTAGCCATTTGGCACAAAAGTTGCCCACCTGGGTCAGAACGAAGTTCAAAATACAAGATAAGCAATGTATATCCAACATTTAATTGCTACATCCGCCCTGGACAGCTATCCAGGGTGCCTGTAAGCGGTACACTAGCACATAATAGGCCTATTTCATCGCTCAACATTTCCCAGCTCACCAGTGTTATCCACTGAGGTCTCAACACTTAGATCACTAAGCTTTATCTCAAGGTTTGAGATGCCCATGTACTGCCTGGAACATGTTTACCCCTGCTCTACGCCCTCCTCCTTGCTGGAGGGTTGTGGAGGTGTTTCAGCATGGGTCTCCACAGAGCCATCGCCTCCAGCGTCTGTGGAGCTCAGCTAAGCAGAGGGTGTTCTGCACCACGCAAGAGCCTCTTTGTCATGGCATTTTGACGGTACAGAAGCAGGAAGACACTGAATACGGCAAATGGTTTTTCCTGACATGGGGGCAAGCATGAGAGCATTAATCATCATTTGCCCACTGCACAGCACACAAGGTATGTTGCCTGGGAGCTACACACCGCAACGTATTTCCCCTAATTCTGCTGCCAACTATGACATGCTGCATTGCTTCAGGAAAAAAAAGCTAACTGTTCGTGATCAGACTGCACCGAGTTTCACATCTCTTGTCACACACACAAAGGTACAAGCAGAACAAAAACTGTAGTGGTGTTTCCAGCCCTCCATTCCTCCCTCAAACAACAGATGATATGATACACAAGAGTGAGTTATGAGTCTTGAGAGGTCCAGTGACCAAGAACTGAGATTCAAACAAAAATAAGCAAGTTTACTACAACATACTCCCTCTCTGCCTTTTCTCATGATACCTGTCAACAAGGTAGTGGTAGTTGAGCAGCTGTCCAGCACAACTCTAGCTCTGTTTGCAAGGCTCATTTCCTTAAATCTGCAGATATTTGTTATGCAAATCTAGAAATGGACAGAGAGCACAGGCTCCCACCTGACAGAAGATACAGTGACAGACCAAAGAGCTGCAGCTATGCACTTGCTTCAGTCTGGAGGTGGCAATTTTAAAAGGGCAAGAGAAAAGCTTCTAAAAATGGGATGTCTACACCCACTGCTGTGCAAGGTAAAGAAGCCTGTGTAGGTCAGATATTTTGCTTTAGAGTTAAAGATCATCTTCAAGGGTAAAAAGAAAACAACCAGGAAGCTCAAACTCAGCTGTATCACTGTACCATGCCTACTCTTCACTAACAATCCACAGCATCTGTGCATATAAGGTCTCCCTGGATAATTATGGCTTTAGACTTATTCCTCTAGATTTCCCACTTTAGAAAATCTTTAAAAAAAAAAAAAAATCAAGTTTAAATGACCATTAGCTAGTAACTCCAAATCATTGCTTGTTAAAAAAGCCTTTTTAATAATTATACATTGCTAATACAAAGGCCTATGCAAGCACAGCTGTAAGAGACTACAAGACTGGTAGTCTGACCAGCCTTCTGCTTCTTTTCTAGTCTAGTCACACTGCAGTCATGGCTGCACTTGACCCAAGGGAGCGCTATCTAATAAACAGGTCATGAAGTAGCTGGAAAAGGACAAAACAGACAGACATTCGGGAAACACCACCAGGATAATGAGCTGTGAAGTCCTAGATTTGTTAGTTCCAAAACATACAAAGAAGCAAAAATTACCTTAGGTCTTTCTCACCAGTGAGAAGGTGACCAGAAAACTCAGCACCAAGAAAAACAGCTATTGAATTTATAACATATAATTCCCAAAGACACCTACAAATTAATGAAGTCTGTGTGAGAGAATAGGAAAAGCAGCCTTTGAGGTAATACTAGACAATAAATCCTAGCAAGCAATAGGCAGTCCAACCAGAACTGTCTGCACAAGACTCAGCTCTAACCACAAGCCAGGCAGTGCAGCAGTTAAACCACTTAGGAAAGGATCCTGTATTTTTCATCACTTCAGGAGAAAGCTATCTTCATCTGTGCAAAAAAATTGCTGGTGATTTTAGAGTTAACACTGAGCTTCTCATGAGAAAAATAAGACAAGACACTGTGCAGCACCTCTGCAGAACAGGACCTCCAAGGGAAGCCTACAGAGTAAAGAGCATGTGGTTCTAGTCAAAACTATGTAAGTCTAACATGAATGGTTTTACCTTACTAGTGCAACCATATCACTTTTAGTTTTCTCAACCAGGCACACTAGTAGCACAACATCATTAGGCAACATTCTGCTTCTGGCATCACATTACCATTCTCTGGCTCCCCATGGGCTCCTATCAACAGCCTCTAAATACTCCAATCCCATAGAATTTCACAAGTGAGTCCCAGCACTGTGGCCATCCTGGTCACAATCTGGTGCCTGTTTCCTCTGAAAATTTTTTTCCTTAGCTTTTTATTATTAGTGTAGCATAACACAGCTGCTATGTTCCTCTCAACACACAATTATTGAACTTGCAAGATCTGCACAACCAGATGGTAACATCAGTAGGTAAAGTGGTGTAGCAGCAGTAGGTGATCCACAAGCAACATTCAAGATAGAGTGCCATTACCTGTGGAGAATACCACAAAAACCAGGACTAAAGACAGTCCTTAGAATCTATTGTGTCTACTACTGACTAGCTATAGACACAACCATTTTTTCCAGATCACCATTTTCTTTTACCTCTGTTAAACACTAGAACTCATCCTTCAGAACTGCTTGGTTTTACTCAGATCCAGATTCCACCCATGACTATGATGACTGGACAGGTCCAGCCTTTATGCTGAACATCCTTGATGTTGGCCACCTCTTACTTCTCTCCCTCACTCAATGTTAAGCAAACTCCATAGCACCATCTTGTGATGAGAACCATTAAGTGCAAGGTAGGCACGGGGCGATCACCCGAGGCCACACAGATCTAGAGGTTTTGTGTCTCAGTTTCCTGCACTAGCTGCTGAGTGCTCAGTGTCAGAACACTCAGACTGTGCTGCCACCCAACAGTTCCACCTCAGTTACAGGAAAGCTGACCTATTTGCTGCCACACACGGTGGCTTCAGCTAAGAAAAAGGTCTTATATACATGAAGTCCTCAGTTCATAAGAGACTGCTTCAAGGAGTATCTAAATTTAAGCAGACTAACAGTAACAATACTCCAGAACATATGCTCACTGGGCAAGGTAAAACAAATTAATCAGTGAGTGTCATTAAACCCATGTGAACACACTGATAAGAAAGCTACCCTAATAACATTCATGTTATATTATCAACACTAACATCTTTCATAATGGTTTATATTAGAAATATTTTTCCCCCCTTTAGGTTTTATTTTTTTCCCCTCTGTGTGTCTATGGTTGTTTGGGTTTTTTTTAAACAGCTTGGAATCTCAAAAAAAAAAAAAAAAAGAGATGGGCTCATCTTAAGTATTGTTTCAGTTTAACAGATGGCAAAAAAAGACCTTATCTGTGGTCTGCAGAGCTGAGTTCAGAACCCAGCTTTTACACTTCATCTACTATACTAGTGGCAATCTGCACTGAAATGCAAGCGTCTCCATGGAAGCCAAGGAAATGGCTGGAAGACGTACCCAGACCTAAGAGGCCATCTGCAGAAGGGAGAGACAGGAGTTAAGGGATAAGACTGTTGGCAACATCCTTTCAGCCCAAAGGACCTTCTACAAATACAGTTTTCAAGAAGAGTAAGCCATCAATGACAGAACACTGAAATGGCTGCCTGCTTCCAAGGAAGCCAGCACTATGCTCCATGACTTGCATCTGCAGCCAACTGAGGAACTAAGCAGAAGTGAGTGGATAAGGCAGGAAAAGCACACACTACAGCAGATATATTTGGGCTGGCTTTCCATCCATCATCTCATTTTCTCTGCTACAATAGATGTAACTCAACTTCACACAAGCAGTCCTTTAAGCTGCTGTACAAACATGGGCAAGTCATGAACTGGGTTACACTGAATGCCAGTTTATGGACAGTTTCATAATGAGGTTTGTTTCCCTCTATTCTGGCAGGAACAGGTCTCTAAAAATCAAAATAAGGAAATGGGGGGGTCTATTTTGACTAATAGTCAGAAATTCTGAAATTTGTTTCCTAGTTCTGCTTCTGAACATTTGAGTCTGAAAAAACACAGCAAATCTGTCAAGACTTTTTCCTCTAGATGTTGTGTCTAGCTCAGAGCTGTGCAAGTTACCAGAGAATGAGTTCCACGAACTAGTTCTATTAGTCAAAGCAACACAAAAAAAGTAATTTTCCAAAAGTTATTCCCACAAACCCACTGAGGAAAAGCAGCAGTGTGACAATAACAGTGTAGATTTATAGTTGTAGTTTATGTACTTTAAATTAGCATCACATGTTTGAAATTCTGGCATTATCTTATGGCATATAACAAACCAGAAAAACTAGAGATTACTTGCCTTTCCCATCTGTTGCTGAAGCCTCCTGTAAATGTCTTATTGACCTGAATAAAAATAAGAATACATTAGCTGTAATTTTTGTACTCCTTTTTTACTGAAGCCCTCTAGAACTCTGACAAGTTTTCTGAGCTCTATGGCTGAGCTACGTTTGTAATTAACTGTGCTTGGCACTACGTGTATTTCACTTCACCCCCATCTCCCCAGCTCAGGCAGTTAGTTCAAGTATCTGTATCTCCTTGTGATTAAGAAAGCTGACTGCTAAAGCCTACTTCAGCCTACAGAAAGCTTTGTGGGAGTGAAGGAGCAGAGTGAGAAACTGGGGCATTTTCCAGAATAATGCTTTCTACTTGTACAATTAAACTGAGATACTACTGAGACTAGTGCCAAGCATTTGGCATCGTACTGCTCTTTTAAGCCCTTTTCATTTAAATAGTTGATTACAGCTTACATGTCTACATAGGCAACTTTTGTAACAGAAGCTACCCTGCAGGAATGTAAATCCAAGGGCCAAGTCTTAGTCGCCTTGCTCACATGAGTCATCCCACCAGCTGCAGTGACACTATCCAGATGAAAAAGGGGCAGGATTTTGTGTCCTGGGCTTCACTGCCAGTTTGTGTCGGTACCATGACAATGCAGGAAAATTGGTTGCTCGCTCTAAACAGTTACAGGGCAGTTCACGCAAAAGCATTTGTTCTTCAGATACAGTTCCTTTATAGAAAGCAAGTTTGATACCAGCATATCACTTCACAGGACATATGGATTCTGGCATTAGGTATTATGGGCTGTGACTGTCAAAGTCACCTTTAACGTAGGAAACCAGAGTTTCTCTTAAAATTAAAGCTAATATTCCTGCACTTTTATTTGCCACACCCAAATGGTCTCACCTCAGAGAGCTGCAGCATTTTAACAGGAGTAGGGGAAGGGACAAATGGGCATCGCAAATTTATTGGAAGACATTTCCCAGCCCTGGCAGACTGCCACTAAGACTGTGTAGGGTTTTGCACAGAGGATGACTGGGAAGGTAAGGACAGTTGAAACCCACTCTCACAGGCCAAGCTGAAGCTTACTCCCATCTACTGAGCAACATGACTTCACACACATACATATACATTACAAACCAGTTCTCAAGCTCAAGAGTTAGACGCTCTAGAGTGATGACATGTTTACCAGACAGACATTTATATTCAGTCTGCATTTCAGAATATACTGGAGAAAACCAAGAATATTCTGTGTTTACTAACCAAGGACCCATAAACTCCTCCTTTAAATCCATCTGTTTATTCAATTAAGATTAATTTAGAAGATAAATGTTCTAACTGGCAAGAAGCAACAATAGTGTTTAACTGAATTATCTGTGTTTTAGTTGAGTTTTATATAACCAACATTATTCCTTGCCAAGTAGAGTGAAAGGAAGGGCAGGGAAGTGTTCCCTGTGGGATTATTTCTTCTAAACAGTCAAATAAAAAACCCAGCTACTCTGGTTGAAGGCAGCTATTGTTTTAGAATTTAGCAGCCTCATTTCCAACCTAAGGCAGTAAAGCAAACCCCTGTTTTTCTATGTAAGAATCATCACTTCTGCAAAATTCCAAGTTTCAAAAGCATTTAGTCTGCAATGTGCTGGCCACACTTAAATTGCCACCCACCTTACCTTGTCCCCAGAAACAAGTATCTTCCACAACACAAGACTGAAGTGTTAAGACTGACAGTTTAAAAAAAGTAACAGAACATTTGACTCCAAGGGACTGACTTTTTTTGCTTTGGCAGTATCTTTAGCTCTAACCAGCAGTCAATACCCATTGGTTCACAAACTGCTCAAACTATCAGGGCTCAGAAACCACACAACACATACAGTGACTCACCATACCACTGGAAATAGGATGGCTCCACAACATAGCAAGTCCACCAGGAAGAGGATTTCTTTCCACAGTCCATATTCAGTTGTCCCCTCTTCTGTTGACTCTATGATGATGTATGCCACATTTGCCAGTACCTACAGGGCAAAATATGCTTAATGGTTTCAGAAGCTTTCCAAGGAGGTACTAATATGGGCTGCCAATTCAGCAAAAGCTGTCCCATAGTTGCAGAAAGAGCCCATTCAGTAACATCAACAATTCTTCTGCAGTTCTATGTCAAGAAAGTCACATGTTCAGCAGCATCTTCACAGGATTTACAGAAATAAAAGTGATTGGAACTTATTTCTGCTGGCATTCAGAAAATAGTCCTTTTTGTTATATGCTATGCTGAATCTACTGTATCAGTAGAGATAAAAATAGCAAAATCTCGTATAAAAATACAGAAACAGGACTCCACATACAGACAGATAGCAAATAGTTTAAATGCATTATTCTAAATTAAAACTAGTAATTCAGACTGGTCATTGACCATGTTTTGGACTCCATACCGGAGCTCTAGAAGAGCCTCAAACACTAATTATATACTTCTGGTTTTGAAGCTGGGTAAGGGATTCCATCTGGAAAGGCAGAAAAGCTCTTCTACCTACAACAAATAGAAGTGCGGCCCTCCCATTAACTTCAGTTCCTAGAGCAGGAGACACTGATCCCTTCAAACACACTCAGAAAATTTCCCTCAGACCCAATGAACCTACAAGTCTCTGTTTTCTCCTTATTTTTAAGCCCATGCAGCAAGCATTTCAGAAATTAAAACTTTCATTTGACTTCTCTGCTTAACAGTTTCTTGCTGTTTTGCAGCCCAAGCTTTGTCCCAGCATGAATATACCTACTCTACAGCTAGTTCTTCATTTGCTGACACTATTTGATTATCATTACTTCATACTCAGTATAGGGAGAAAAGCAGGGAAAATTACAGAAGTAACTTCTGGCCTAGGATATTCCAGCTCGATTGAAGTTGTAACCAATAGGCCTATACAAGCAGTAACTATATGGTATTTTTGTGCAGAATTCAGTCTTTTACACTCTCCACAAGCATCTCTCCCACAAGATAGTAAGTATTGACAGAACTCAGTCCTCACCTGAAGCGGGATGACAATCATGAAAATTTTTTTGTCTTTATCTGACAGGATGTGTTTAATGAAAGCCCAGCCTGTGCCAATAAGGGCAATAGTGATGAACAGAAGAGCACCCTTCAGTCTGAAAGAGAAACAGATACCACGGTGAGAGACTTTATCACACTTCCTCTTCTGCCCAGGTTCTCTCCTACAGTCAGCAAAGCCACAAACCCAAACAAATGCCTTGCTATTCATAATTTTGGCAAGTGCTTATCCTACAACAGTGAAGCAGATGTACTTGCTTACAACTGTGTATCACATAGCAATATTGCACTTCATTCACAATTGTCAATATATGCAGTCTTTTCCTGGGGGAGTCATCCATTCACCACAGTGAACAGGAGAAAACACTGGCAGCTGTACCCTCTTACCATTCACACCAAGAGCAAATTAGATACTTGAATATTAGTATGAACAAAGAAAAGCAAAGCATTTCTCCTTTTACTCCTCCACCCAGATAAGTACCAATTCTCTGCAGCTGCTCTCTATAAGTAGAGCTTTCCCCTTCACATAGGGCTGATTGTTGTCTTGTCATTCAGGCTGTAGTACCAAAGAATCAGCAATTTTCCAGTTTGCTCAGGAGGGAGGGAGGTGGGCAGCCCCACAGGGAATTCAGTTTCATTGTCTGAATCTATCACATCAATCTTCTGACATACTTACAGGTGAGTGATGTAATAAACAACAGCCCAGCCTTCAATCGGAAACCCCTGAGAAGAAATGTAGTGATAGTCGATCTGGAAGCAGAAAATACAGTACATATTACAAGCTGCTCATCAGCACCCCACCCATGTCTATAAAAGAGGTCTGCTTGACAGCCACTTCAAGATTCATTTTCCAATCAGTGGCTACAAACTCAGCTGTTACATCTTAGAGAACACTCCCTCCCAACATGTTCTAGTTTTGTTTAGCAACAATGAGGTCATTTCCATTTGCCGTATTTCCAAAGTGTTAGTGGATATATCTCATACAATCTACATCCTTCCCACACTTAACTATAGATAAACAACTGCATTTGTAACCTATTTATTCATTCCTTGTTCAAGTTCAGTTGCATTAGGTTACTAGATTCTTTCTAATTTCAGTGGAAACCAGATTCATTAGACCCCAAAAATGTTTGTAGCAGTTATCCTGTCATGAAGATGAAGGTGAAAAATCACAGCTGGCACAAGCATTGAAAGATTAAATGCTTCTCAGTAACTTTGTTTATGAAGTCTTTCCAGTACAAAGGCAAAGTCAATACAATTCAGCAGAGACTTTATGTATGGAAAGTGTTAAAGCTTATAATGTTAGGTCTGTTACAGTACACCATAATACTTCATCTAAAGTAGTGCCCTTGAATTTTACAAACATCCATCAAAGGTTCCATTTATTAACATTTATTGCAAGCTGTGTAGCCAAAGCAGCACCACAGCTCAAATTTTCAGGCCAGCCACAGATGGCCAAAACATTAGGATTCACAGATCTCATTCAACACTCATATATGCTTGCTGCTTCACCACTTCAGGCCATGATCTCAACTGTATTTAAAGTCAGAATTTGCTGATGAAAACTGAATCACTTCTACCAGACAGCTGCAGTTCAGTTCCAGTGCTTCAGTATGAAAGACTTCTCTCTCTCCCATTCTCCCCCCTCAAAGCAGATTTCTCTAACAGCATGCTCTGCATCCATGTTTCTACTTCCTAGCTAAACAACTTAAGGCAGAGACATTATTCGTACCGCATGGAAGACTAAGGACAGAGATTTTGTGAAAGGCAGGGCTGCCATTAGCCAGTGAATCTTAAAGACATCATTTCTGGGAAGAAAAAAAAAAAAAGAAGAAAGAGCATCAATTAAAAGCCAGCAGTAAAAATTTCAGTTCCCAAGGGTATTCCTATAAAACCTACAAATGTCAAACAGTAACTCCCAGGCTGAGCTGATTACCAGTGTAAAAGGATACCCTTTAATGCTGCAGTCCAGCTTTTTGCAACATCCCGAACAGCATTTCAACTACGTGTTCTACGACCCTGATTTTTAATACTTGGTTTAATTAAAACCAGTAATTCATAGGAACATCTTGCATACGTAGATCATAACTGTTGGAAAATTTGCTAAACCTAATTCAAACATTTATTACGCAACCCTCCACCTCCAAGTCACTATACCACATCACCAAGTGAACTCCAGACTACCAAATAATCTGATTACCAAGTGAACTTCAGACTAAGCCAAAGGTAAAGCCAAGATGGAACAATAGGTGCTGCTGGCTTCTGTTGCTATGCTTTAAATATTAAGCAGCACGTTTTTCAGTTAGAAATTCCTACCCACCTTCAACTATAATCAAAATGTTTATGGCTCTCCACTGCCATAAGCTGCCATTCCCCGCATAAAAAATAATTTGATCATGTTTTTCTTGTTATTTATTTCCAAATGGTGTTTACCTGTTGTCATCAGCTACAGGAACTTCCTGTTTATTTGTTGTCACGATACATTTTAATATGTACATACACAAAGACGACTAGATAACTTTAGAATAACAGTCTGCAAAAATTATACTGACGGAAACCGTTTTCAACTACTAACTGTACGTATTGGGCATACAATATTGAGTCAAATTTGGAGTTTTGAGTGATTAATCTGACAGTGAATTGATCATTAAGAGGAGGAATAAAAAAATAAAAGTCAAACAAGTTAGGCCTATACTTGTCACTGACACCAAGCTGATCCGCTTACCTGCGTTTACGAAGTATGTGGATCCATACAGTCCCAGACAGAAAGAAAAACATAGCCATGGAAATGTAAAGTTTTGGCAGTGGGATCTCACCCGCTGATAGGTAGCTTTCAGGATTCTTTTCCGTAATTTCTATCTGAATATTAAAGGTATGTTATGTGTACAGTTGAAAAAACACTTAGAGCACTGAGTTAACAATTACAGTTCACAATCAAATTTGTGCATATAAAAGCAACTTTTCTGAAGTGGTGACTGTTATGAGACTCTTAAAATAAAAGCAACTCTTCATCCTCAAGAATCTCAAAACATTTTGCAAAATTACACCCACAATTTCCTTAAAATGCAGGGAAAGACAGAGATTCCTTCCAATGCTTCAATTATGCAACGTAATTCAGAAAGGCAAAGTAATTCTCCCAAATAATAGTTGTTCTCTATACCAAACTTCATAGAGTTTGCCCACCCTTGATTCAGAAACAGTATCTACAACCTTGCATAAACAAGCAGGTATTTTAGCACAGTCCTGATTTTAGGTGTGGGGAGAGTCATACACAGCTGAAAAACTCACTCTTAGGTTTACTACGGTGGATTTCTTCACCTGCCAAGACAAAGGTAACACTCTGCTGCAAGCCTATTACCCTGTGACTGAGAAAACAGAAGCTTAAATATCCTATTTATGTCCCTAAATGACTTGGTTATATGTGCTAGGACTCCATTAAAAGAATATATCACAACTAGCTTGCAGTACTGAAACTGTTCTGCATCTCTAAATACAACCAAGCAGCTTAGTTATGCTGGTTTTCTTTTCTTTCCAACTTCTTCAGTGGGTCAAAGCAACAAACAGCAATTCAACAACTTGGTCTTCTAAACATCCAACTTCAGAAGCTGTTTCAAAATAGTCTAGTCTGAGTTAGGGTTGCTAAGTTTTGTCACCTACATGCTCCTGTGCTTCTCCCTTGCTGTAGCATCAGCACAAGGATGTAAAAAGCAGTTCAGGTGTCTGATCTGGCTGAGCATTACCACAGTCAGTAAAAGGATTCATTACAGAACAGCTTTATTACATACATCAGCATGGATGCCAGCATGAGCAAAAGAAGGAAAAAAGGGAAAGCCGTGATAACACACTCTGACTTAAAAGAGCATAGGACTGAACCCTTGGATGTTAAAGGAGATAAGACATTTACTACAACATATTGCCGTTAAGACAGGCATCTAATACTGTAAGAACACATCTTTAATTAGGCCAGAAAAAGCAAAAACACTGAATTCACAAATACCAACAATTTAGATCGCAGCAACAGCCTTAATATCTGTGAGTTAAGAAAAAAAAGGGTGATTTTTGAGCACAGCAAGACACGAACAACTGTTTTAGCTCCCATCTCATTACAGCATCTAGTCACAACTGTGTAGAGTGAACCCAGCCCACATGCACTCTTCAGATTTCCAGACATTTCTCCAAAACTAGTATTTCAGTTGTTCTTACTGTAGTTGTTTCCTTCAGGAATGGCACTATAAAGATTAAATGCACAACTGAATCACTTCCCACCCCATCTATACACTCTGTATGGTGTGTGCCTGGTAGACAAGCAACAATTGGAAGCATGTTTGTTTCAGTCTAAAAGAGTTAATTATGATTTAGAAACTATACTCACATCGAGACTAAATAGCCGCTGATCATTAGTTGGCCTGTCACTGCCAATGCATTTATGGAAGTAAAGGCTGTAGAGACCTTCTTGGTTATCAGAGCTGATGTTAAAAAAAAACTGAAAACAAGGAATAAGATAGTCAGTACTCTTCTCATTAACAGGGTTGCCAGGGTAAGAAGCCATCTCTGCTGAAGCAGGAAAAACATCAGTCCTCTAGGTCAGCTGGTTCCTACAAGTGTACTGTTCTGAGGATACCAGCATATCTGCAACTTTCAACAGAACTCCAGATGCAAAATCACTTCACCTGTCTATGATTATGCACCCTGGTAATCAAAGACCTTTAGGTATCAGGGTTCAACTTACTTCATGGCAGAGAAACATAACAAGAGGTGTCCTCTATTTCACATGGTGAAGCATAAAATTTGGATCATGCTTGCTCTAAAGCATAAGCAGCTAGTCTGTTTCTCCCCCAACTACACAAATTGCAACAGCTATGGAAATAAGATTTCACAGAATCATTGAGGTTGGAAAAGCCCCTGAATCTCCTCCAGTCCAACCATGAACCTCACACTGACTGTTCCCAACCCCACCAGATCCCTCAGCACTGGCTCAGCCTGACTCTTCAACCCCTTCAGGGATCCCAGGGACTACCCCCTGCCCTGGGCAGCCCATTCCAACGCCCAACAGCCCCTTCTGCACAGAAATCCTTCCTCAGAGCCAGCCTGACCCTGCCCTGGGCAGCTTGAGGCCATTCCCTCTGGGCCTGGCACTGGGTCCTTGGCTCCAGAGACTCATCCCCCCGTCTCTGCATCCTCCTGTCAGGGAGTTGCAGAGGGCCAGGAGGTCTCCCCTCAGCCTCCTCTTCTCCAGACTAAACCCCCCCAGTTCCCTCAGCCGCTCCCCAGCAGACCTGTGCTCCAGACCCTGCACCAGCTCTGCTGCCCTTCTCTGGACATGCTCGAGTCATTCAATGGCCTTGATTTGTGTTATAACAAAATTTAAAATGCTTTTGTTTTATAGTAAATGACAACCTCAAGTGAACCAGGGTGCTGAAACAAAGCATTCATTTGGTTTCATACAGAACACCTCCCTCTTAGGTGAGTTAGTCAGGTCACAGCTATTTGCTGTTAGAAGTCTGTATGCACTAGTTGCACCATTGTAAGCTTTAACGTGCTGAGGCTCACAGATACTCAGAACAGCATCATACCAAAGAGAGTTTAAAACAGCTGCCACACCTTATGAAGAAAGATTTCCAGCACTTATTCTTAACAAGAGTCCACTCAAAAAACTTACTGAGCTATCAGAGAGGCATCTATATCAGACTTGTACTTTTCAGAGTACTACAGTGAAGGAACTGTCTGCACACATTAAGACTAGACACCCTACCTGAAATGAGAAAGTTCCTCTGTCATTGCGAACAGGATGTTCTTGTTCTACTATGCTCTGGGAAAAGGAAAAGAGACTTTTAGATTATTTTTTTTAAAAAGCAGATAACTACCACATTTGGCTACATCATCCAGACAATCAAAACTGCATTCTATACATTTACAGTGGAAGCTGAGAGCAACAGAAAATAATACTCTCCAGTTTCTGGCTATGCTTATACTGGAATATTCCCCTGGGTTCTTTCTAAAACAGAACAGCAGATAGTTTCTTACCTGGGAGGTTGTTGTACTTCGTTTGGACTCGTTACCTAGAGATAAAAGTATTGATAGTACATTTAGAGTGTTTGCATTTAGACATCCTCACAGACTAACACCTTTTGAACACTGCCAATACCTTACTCAAATCTTCCGCACTCATCTGTGTGGCAGTTGCCTAGATAATCATTAACAGAGATTATCTCCAGTCCCTCCTTCCTATTCCTGAGGAATGAATCCTCAAATGCTACTACAGGCTTCTCTACTATTATATGTTCTCCAAAAGCCTACCCAAGAAGTCTTTCCAACCCCTCCAATTACAGTGATGCAGGAGGCAGATGACCTATACCAGATGCAGGCTACAGCCTTGTTTCATACAGTATACAGCTATGACTTTCAATGTTATGATTGAGTACTGTTAATCTCTCTGACTAATTTTAATCTGGACATTAATATATGGCCTAACATATGGAAGTCCTAATTAGCTCTTGGGAAGGAAAAAGTTCTCAGCTCTCTACTAAGCAAGACCTCAGTAAAAACGCAAACAAAAAAACAAACAAAAACTCAAAGCATAGGTGATCTGCCAAGTGACTATCTGTTCTGAACTTGAGAAACATAAATTGGCAGGAGACTTCAATAGAGCAGTATGTCAAATTCACCGTTTCATTTCACTCCTACAAGAAGCTTTTTAAACATAAGGTCATCCTATTCTACCAGGAAGTAAAAGTTCAACACTTAAACTTTGCTTTTGGCTTCCGCATGTCAGTGCACTGTCAATGTGCATGCCATGCTTTTTAACATGAGAAAAAGCAAAACTAGAGCTGTCAGATCAATTATCTTCTGCGCCATCCAGCTTTAGTTCTTGATTTGTTAGAACAGCTGTGCAAAGTTTTCAACAATATCAAAGCTTGTGAACATGACATGCCAAGACAGACTCAGACTACTTCAGATCAGACTGCTGAGTAGCCTGATCTAAAGTCTTCCAGGAAGGGATAACAAACTGTCTAGAGCTAATCCCATGAGAGCTGAGATTATAAAATGGTTTTGTCTGCTGGCCTGGAAGTCAGATAAAGATTTGTGCCTCCAAGAAAGGTTACTGGTATAGTCAGTTTTCCATCCCATAGCTTCTAAGTGACAGACTAGATTTCAACTCTTTAGATATACACTCATACAAACATTGGCTGGAAAGGACCGGTGGAAGTATTTATCCAGCTTCTGACTCAAAGCTTGCCTAGTGTCAATACTGTATCACATTGGCCCTCGTTAGTCAAATGTTCGTTTAGTTCAGTGTTTCAAACCTCAGAGGATGGAGGTTCTACAGCTTCCACAAATAATCTTCTACAATGCTGGAACACCTACACAGGAAAGCCTTATTTTCCCTCCCAACATCCAATCTGAGACACCCAAGATTTAGTAAGAGGGAGCAGCCACAGGTTGCATTGTGTGCCACTACTACGAATATCTTGGCATCATTGTCCTTCTAACCTTTCTTCAACCAGTTGCTAGTGGCTACCAAATTCTCCCTTAGCCTTCTTTCTGCCAGACAACACAATCAAGTACCTCAACCCCTCCTTCACAGGTATTGCTGGTCTCCAACAGTCCTGCTGGGTCTGACAGAGCTGGTTAACACAAATCACTGAGCAGGACAGACTCCAGCCCAGCAGGTAGCTTTATGCACAGGTTTGTTTACACAAGACTGTGTCAAGTTCTAGACGAAGCGGACCCCAGAATGTGACAACACACTGCTGAATGCATATCAACACAGAACTAGCAGCAAGAGGTTGTATAGGTCAGGCTTACCTTTGCTGTCTGTATCTTCGTTGGTCTTCATAGGATTTTTATTAGAATCACTGTTCTGTTGGGAAGTTTTTAGCGGCTTTGTACTTAAGGCAGTAACATTTTCCTCAGACATGAATGAAATTTTAGGTAACAAAGAAGAAGCTTCTGCAGAGAACCGTACTTTCACACTAAATAAACAAAGAGTTTTTATACAAAATGAAAGCAAATCAACATTCAGAGTCTGTCATAGCCTACATATATGTAGTAAAGGAAAATCAACTTGTCTTGACTTGTTTTGCGTTTTTTTTACCACAGCAAACAGGCAAGCCTGGCACTGAACTGATCACTATGGGAGAAGTCACACTACATTTACATCAAAACCAAGAGCAACCACAGAAAAATATGTTTATTCAGTTTTGGTAACCGGAGTCATCAGAAAGTACGTTTCCACTAAAACAGTTACAGTTGCTCTTGCAAAAAAAAGCAATGCATCCTTGAAGGTACTTCCATGAAATAGGTAAGTCAAGACAAACAATAAAAGGCTGAAATAGTGACTCAAGACTTCAAGTTCATGCCTTCAGCACAATTAAGGTATGATTCTTCCCCATGTCCCCTTATCCCTCCAAGATACAGCAATAATTCCTGGACCATTTCACATGACAGATTTTTTTTTTCCTCTCACTCTCCCCTCCCCTCAACTTTCATGTAACCCATTAAAAAATGAGCTACACGCACAGCAGCTTTCCAAGCCCTTAAGTAATTTTCACAAGTGTTATATTAGCTTCAACTAGAGAAATAACTTCAAAATGCAGCGTACACTATTTACTCACACTTCAGTTTTGAAGTCCAGAAGTAAGATTACAACAGAGACATCTTGTTCTGGTTTCTTTTTTAAGATACAGTAATCCATTTCTTCATCCTGGTAATATAAGCAAAAAATCTTTGAAGTGCCCTCCTGTTTACAAGAAACGGGATATGTTCCCCACCAGGGAGAGGTTATGATTCTTAGTACAGCAAGTTGTAAAACTGAATTGCCCATGACAACCTTGTCCATGTCTAAACCGCCCCCCACCCCCCCCCTTTTTATTTTTTTATTATTATTTCTTCTGACTATTCCTGGGGGAAGGTAGGACTGAGATGTCCCCAGCTTAGAAAAGTAAGTTCGCATCTCTTACCAGGTAAGTGGAGAAACCATCATTCCTTGTTCGATCCAAACTGAACCCCACCTATGAGACAATTTAGAAGAATCTGTCAAATTAAAACCGCTCAGGTTCCCCCAAGTATCAGAAGCCAAACCACCACTGAAAGAGTCAAAGATAATGCTCTCTAAATAAATTAACCTATGTTTAAGGCAGAATCCAGGTATTTTTCTCATTATCTAATTAGACAGAAAAATTATTAAATGTAATAAACCTGCTGCTTCACCCATATCCACCAAGAATAAAAGATATACTGATTCAGACCCAAACTAATCAGAGTACCTTCTGTCCCCAAGCCATTTAACTTATTTCAGTATTTTTCCTTATAGTCTTGCTTGAGGAAGACATTTAATAATTTTAGTCACAGAGGTCGAACCGTGCAGAAGAGCAAGAACACAGGTCAGCTTTCTACCCTAGTATTTCAGTCTATTAAAATCACCAATATAATGTGAAATACAACATTTAATGTTAGAGTCCTCTAAAAATAAGATAGTCACTGCTCTGGAAACCCACTGATATAATGATTACAAAATGCTTTGCAAAATAACAGGACAACTGTGAAAAATCTCACATCAGATAACTGCTTAGGAAACCTCTGTTGAATAGAGGTTATAGATGTGTGCATCGAGTTCAGTAGATGATCCAATAAGTTAAAGTTTATCCTTAAAGCAGAATGAATAGAGGTCAAGGCTAAATCTCACAACATACATATCCTCATAAAAGGCTCAGAGTGGGGAGCAAAGCTAAGAGCACCACCAGGTAGGATCTGACACCTCACACAAGGCATTCAGTGCAATGGCAATTTCACAGTAAGCTTAATACAGTCACTGGACTCTAACTTACTGATAAGCTACTCTTGTCATCAGAGCCCACTGGTGGCTTTAATGAAAGGTTGCTGACATTGACTTTCATGAAACCATCCTTGAAGAAGCCAAAGGTATTCAGGTGCACTTTCTGCCTCACATCATCCTGCAAGAAAGGAAAGTAAGTTTACAAATCACATACACATTCATCTACAGCAGCAAAGAGGAAGCAGGGTGACAGAGATAGACACTTACTTAAGTATTCATGCACAACATCTATCTGATCATACCAAATGCAAACTTCTTTAGGATACCCTCAGATATAACCAATTTCACTGGAATCAACCAACTCTTACAATAACCTGAACAGTAAGAACTTTAAATAAATATGTCTTTGCTAATTACACAGCTATACAACTGAAAAATATGCAAGTAAAAAGTCTGGAAGAAATTAGATATCTGGCATCACTGATAAAATATTGCTACAAAAAAGATACTGTACACAAATCAAGACAACTATTGTTTGAACACTAGCTACTGCCACTGCAACAGACTTAAGAGGAATTAGTTGACTATAGTGATCTTACTTAACCAAAAGCTGGGTTTTGGCCAAGTGTTTATTAAGTATCACAGTGTACTGTCATCCCATCAGATCTTTCATGTTAGGCAGAGTCACTGTTTGAACAAACACCTAAGACACTGGAAAACTATGTGTATGGTGTAGATAAGAAGATTTCTTGTGTAGTCCCATTCCTACAAGTGATTTTTAGCAAAAAAAACATCTACATCTTATAAGTAGGATAACCACAGAAAACTGGGTATATGAGTTCAAACAGAATCACCTGGCTTAGTTGCTCTAACAGGAAAGCTCCAGTCCCCCCCTCTGCTCCTAGTCTTAGCTGCAGACCAGTTTACTTCCTCTCAGTCCAGCAAGAAAACTGTAGAAATTGTTCCTTTTCCATGCCTTGCTCAGCTGATAAATCTTCCAGTACAGTGGGCATATTTTTTTTTTTTTAATAAGGAGGTCATGAAGGACCTTACATGAAAAGCAGTAAACATCACATACAGTTGCCCCATCAGATGAGGAAAGGTCCTATCCCTGTTACTTTGCATTCAGAAATCAATAAATAGATATGCAGTTGGACCCCCAATCCTACAGGATCAGCAATTCAACAAAAATTAAGAAGAAAGCGTAAAAGTGCTTTAAATCACATTTTAAAAGTTGTCACTAAAAAGACGACAATTGTTTCTTTTTTCCTGTTTCTTCTAGGAAAAGATAATCAGATTGCAGAATACTCTAAGCAGAGAAGTCACCTGCTAAAGTGAAACAAACTGTTCTGGACAAGGTACTGGAAGACTGAGCTAAGAATTATAGAAGCACAATATAGTCTCTCTTTCTTTACCCCCAGTATTAATGTTGATATCTCTGTAACATTCCCAACACATAAATATCACTCCCTGTAATAGCAGGACACTAATCTTGACACAGCTAGCTTGTAATCTAGCTGTAACAAGATTGCTCTAATAGAATCAAGTTAACCTGGCAAATAACCAGATGGTTCCCTTAATGCTCAGAAGAGGAAAAAAAAGTTAGTGACACATGCCTCACAGCAGCTGCTTTGTTCAACAGAGCATTATAGCTGTGCTGTCTTTGGGTTCTAGGTCACTTAACATGCCTGAACAAGAGCCCATGTGGTTCATTTAACACTGCTTTCAATATAATTTCCCAGTCAGACTGGAAGATGAATACCAGCTCTTCAGATAGCACATCATGCGTATTTAACCACATCTGGACACGTAAGCATTTGGGTGATTGGGTAGCAGGGAATATGAAGGGAGATACAGTGTCATCCAGCCACAAGGTGTTTTATACCTTGTAAACATGACCAGAGATAGCTGCTTGATTCAGAGTACTTGCAAAAGCTGTTCAGTTCAATTTCAGTTTATTTACTCTGCCAGTTCACTAATATATTCCCCACCAACAAAAGATAATTAATACACACACACACACTTTCCTCCCTGATTTTATCTGTGTTGAGTGCTTAGAGTTTACAGATTTAGTTCACAAATCCTTCAGCTTTACATGATCCCACACGCTCTGTCACCAGTTGCCACCAAGAAACAGCACACTCCCCGAGAGCATCTACTGCTCCACATATTGATGGCTTAAAGATACTGGCTTACTAATAATTGTCTCACCTCTCACAGGAGGTTTAACAGGTTGGAAGAATCCAACTTTTATTTATAATTACTCAACTGCTGACTTCAGAAACGTTCAATTGTAAATTTACAACAAAGATGTGAACTCTTAGAAGTGAATGCTTAAGCATCTGAGTTGTTCGCATACACATTAATTTACATAGGAAGCATTTAACAGTTAAGCCTGTCCCTTCGAGAAGAGAAGGTCTGGGACTAATCACCAAGAGGTTACAATCAAACCAATACAGTAAGTTCTCAGCTTATTTCTGTAAAAATTTTCCTGACTTCTTCTACTCCTCTAAGATAAAAATTGATCCTGAAACCATCGATTAAGATTACAGGAAAGCAGTATCCAAGATCCTGCAGCCTAGAACAGGCAGAAAAATATTCTTTAATAATTTTGCCCAAAATCTACTTGGGATCACACAGTGAAAGTTTAATTAGAGTGCTTACCCTTATGAGGAAGGAATTTTATTATTGGCATGAAACTAATAGCAAGACTTATAATTGGTGTAAGACTAAATGAATTGTTGTAAAAGGTATTTTCAACTTGAGCAACTGAAGCCTGAAACATACCAACATTAAAATGTCACAAGCATTTACAAATAATTGCTGACAAATAACTTCTTCCAAATAAAAATTTAACATGAAACATCAATCTTGACAATATCATAAAACAGGAGAGGTCTTACTTCCCTTTTGGGAGCCAGTTAATTGGCAAGGTGACCTGCTTCAATCAGAAACTAACACCACAGCTGCTACACAGCGTTGTCAGTTCAATGGTTCCTCTTGAAACTGGTATGTTGGGCTACTGGCTGGCATTAAGCTTAACCACGTACCTGACAACGGCCTTGTATAGGCCAACTTCCTCATTCTCTGAGACAGTCTGCCATTGCATTATGAAAAACAGTATTATAGCATTCAACTTAAGACAACAAAAATCTTATCTTTTGTTAAGAGAAACATTTCAACTACCAGCTACTTTCAAAAACTTCTGAAAATTGTTTCCATCAGTCTTCTATAACTTCTGTTTTTGGTAGGTTTGTTTTTTAAACATATCCCATTAAACTAATAAAGCTAGTAACAACTGCTGCTAAGGAAGAGAGTCTCCTTTGACAAGGCTAGTCTAACAGCAAGATTCAAACAAATAAGTTTTCTAACTCTGAGGAAATAAATCATGTTGTATGCTTTAATAAAGATAAAAGGTTATTTTCAGAACAGGAAACTGCTCAGACTGTGGTTTGCTTTTCTGACAAGAAAAGTTTCACCTCAGCATGCTAATTACAATGATACAAGAATGAGGCTATTCTAACTTAAGCAATAACAGCTTGTTTGAGGAAACCTAATATCAAACACTCACACAAAGCTGCGGCCTCTAGCTTGGCACCATGTCAAAGCACACTTAGAAGCAAGGAGCCAACTGCAAGAACACTAGAAGGGAGATTTCATTGTGAAAGGGTACAGTTATTGGAGCCTGATGTTTACAGATATGCTGTAAAACAGTGGCTGAAGTAGAAAGGGAGAGACTGCTCTAACAATAAAGCTCATGTTTATACAAGAGGTGGACAAAGGCATTAACACACTTCTACTTTCCATGGTGCTTGGTAGGTCAGTGCTGCAATTCATGCAAAACACCTACAAAACTAAAATCATACCCCATTTAGACCATAAAAAAAAAATATCACCAAACACAGTTTAATAATTGATCCAGGTGGTTAAGACACACCCTAATAAGAATTAGAAGCCGTAATGTTTGCTGCTGAGAACATCTGCTTGAGGCCAGTTTGGAAGTTTTCTATGTAAGGGAAGAGTATCAGCCCAGGAAAAATTCTTCCAGCACTCAATTTTTAGTCACAAATTCCTCACAACAATAATGTAACCAGCACAAACCTCCAAGTTTATTTCTTCAGAGAAAAGTTTACTTTTCCTGAAGCAGAACAATATTGACATGGTTGCACATCAAACAACTACATGATCTGGACAATTCCTTACAAATAAATCATTAGTGTCCCTGTAGCATTCACTATATTCCAAAAGCTGAAGGGGAGCTCCTGCAAAGTTTTGGCATTCTCCCTAAACTTCTACAAGAACACAGTAATGCCGGTCCTAGTCATACACCACTTTATTAACTTTCTCCACTGTTTCTAATGGTAAAATATTACATGTTTTTGACAACAATAACAAAATTAACAACCTCATTCTGAAGATTTACAGAGCATTTCATGAACTATATAGAAGCCCTTAAAAAGCATCACACCAAAGGCACAGTTCCTCTAACACTTAACAACTGTGCAGCCTGTCATTTAAAACACAGCAGACAACAGGACTCTGGAGCTACAGATCTTTGCCACAACCTGCACAACTTCCCATCAACAGCCCTGAATAACTAGACACAACACTCTTTTCAAAGCACAACCAGAAGCCTATCAACCCAAACTAGAGAGCAGACGACATCAATATTTTCTTCTGCCTCTATTGATCACTTGATTAGCATAAAGAAACTACATCTAGAAGGCGAATAAGACAGCCACACAGCCTTTCAGAGTCAAGCGACCGCTGATCAGGACAAGAAAACTATTGCAGGGTGCAGATTAAAAGCCAAAGCAACCCCAACCACCCTTCAGAAACTTCCCCTGAGCTCATGCTCAGCCCTCTCTTAACACAGATAGCTTTCTGCCTCGCTTTTAAGAGAGCATGAAGCATCTGCGCTTTCAAACCGCCACAGTTCTGAGGCCTTTCGCACGTTTTCCCCACAACTAAGAAACAGAGGGCTAAAAAAGCAGGGATGTGGGGAGGAGAAAATAAACAGGAAAATCAGAAGACAGCGGGGCCCTGGAAGGCTGAGGCGTAGGGGGAGAGCTCAGAAAGAAACGAAGAAGAAAAAAAGCCAAAAGCAGGCGGCAGGATAAAGGTGGAGGCGCGGGGAGAACAGCCCCGGCCCGCGGGAGGCACACAGGGCCAGT